CTGGGGACATCATCTCCAGGGTCTTCTCCTCGGAGCTGCCACAGGCATCCTCGCCCCCCTCGGGGCCGTGGGTCAGCGCTCCCGTGGGCGTCAGGTCGAAGTTGACGCTGCGGTCGCTCTTGGGGGTCTTGGCCAGGGGTGAGGGGGGGCAGACGGCTCGGAGGGGGCTGCCCTCCAGGTAGTGGAAGCGTTGGTGGCTCTCGGGGTCTTCCAGGCCGTTCTCCAGGCAGGATGAATCCCCTGGGCCCTCAGCCCCCCCGTTCTCCAGCGGTGAAGGCTCCAGCTCGCTCTCAGCCGTGGTGATGCCTTCATCTGTGGATTCCTCCTTCCCCCTCCTCCCACCAGCCCCCGGTGAGGCAGCCCCCTGGCCCTGCTCTGCCTCGGGCAGCATGTCCTCAGGGGAGGAGGACTTGGAGCCATCTGACACCCCTGGCTCCTTCCTGCCACCCACCTCCCGAGGGGCTTTGGCCTTGGGTTTCTCTGGCTCCTTCTTCAAGGGGGGTTTCTTGACGCTGCTGGTCTTGGCCAGGGGTTTGCGGGGCTCCAGGGCCGATGTTTTCCGGGCTGGGGTCTTGGCAGGAGCTTTGGTCTCTACCTTGCTCTCCTTTGTGTCCCTCCGCAGCGTCTCAGCCTTCACCTCCTTCTTCACCACCACCTTGACCTCCTTCTTGGCCTCCCCCTTCACCTCAGCCCCCTCATCCTTCTTCAGCAGCTTCTTCTCCTCTTTCCGGGGCACGGGCTCCTTCTTGGGCGCCACTTTCTCTTTGATCACCTTCGGCTTCGTGTCCGTCTTCAGCTTCTCCACTGAAGAGTCCAGCTTGGCCCGAGCATCCTTGGCTTTCTCCTCTTCTGACCCTGCTCTGGCTGCCTCCCCCAGGGATTTTGGCTTCTCCTTGGTCCCTGCCTTCACCTCCTTCCTCTCCACCTTTGATGGAGCCTTCTCCTTTGGTGCCAGCGCTCCGGTGTCCACCAAGCTGATCTTGGAAGCTGACTTCAGGCTCTCCTTGCTCTCTGCCCTCTTCTGCTTGAGCAGCTTCTCTGGTTGGGATGCTGACGGCCCCTTCAAGTCATTCTTGGTGACCACGGGGTGCTTGAGGAACTCCAGGTGCTTCACCTTCTCCAGCCCCTCCAGGATGCGGCCCTGGGGGGTGCAGCCAGGGAAGAGGACCCGGATGATCTTCTCGGTGGGGCTGACAGGGTGCCAGACAAGCAGGGCACAGACAGAGGTCAAGCACTGCAGGGGCAAGTCCTGCTCCTTGGGGTAGCTGTTGCCCGACCATTGCTGCAGGAGAAAATCCAGCTCCTTGGTGCCCTTCACAGGGTTCAGGACATACATGTCCAACCGGCCCACTCCCATCTTCTGGAAGAGGACAGTGGGCTCAGCACGGGGTCCACTGTCCCGGGCCAGTGGGTTGGGATGGATGCCCAACTTCTCCAGGTAGTGCAGGGTCAGGGCAGCCTCATCACAGCTCTTCAGCACCCGGGAGTTCCCCTCGATGTCCTTCAGCTTCTCGGAGGCGTTGAGGAAGACGACGCCGAGCTCGGGGGAGATGAGGTTCTTGGCCCAGTCCCCATTCCCCTGGGAGCTCTGGGATGGGTCCTCCTCCAGCTCAGCCAGCTTCCTCTGCAGCAGGCTGTTGACTCCAGGCAGGCTGTCTGTTCCCATGTGGGTCACCAGGATGGAGTCGATGCGGTCCAGGTGCCTGACCAGCTTCCAGAAGGATGATTTGGGGTTGGAGCCACCGTTGACCAAGACGTTGAAGCCATTGACAGCAAAGAAAGCTGAGTCCCCTCTCCCACCCGGGAAGATATAGCAGCAGGGCTTGGAGAGCTTCAGGAAGCCAACCATGGTGGGGGGCTCGAGGAGGTCGAACGGGGACTGGGGCTCCAGCGACTCCGACAGGTACTCCATGAACTCCTCCAGCCCCTCCATCTCTGGTAGGACACAGCCCGGGTTGTAGCGCAGCTCGATGAAGTCCTGGAGGTTCTGATGGTCCAAGGCCGAGTCCTTCCACTCCCCAAAGTCAGGGCAGCTGATGGTCAGTCTGGCTTTGGCTGAGGGATCCGCGGAGCTCAGGATCTCCCCGACCTGCCAGGGGACAGGGACAGCTGGGATGGGACAGCCCAGGGGTGCCTGACCTCAGCCCCTCTTCCCTTGCCAAACACAGGACACACCCTCCCCAGGATGCAGCCCCATCCTGCTCCCTGTGACACCTGGGGGAGCTGGTTCCCCACTCCCACCCACCCCCCCCTGCAGTCAGGGCTGGGATGTGACCAATCCCCCCCCTCCATCCCCAGCCCCTCATGCCTGCAGCACAGGCTGAGCCACCTCCTGCTGTGCCTGGAGAACATGAGCAGACAGTGCCCCCCTCCCAGCTCCTCCCCGGGGGTCCCCCCGTCCCCTTCAGCACCTCCTTGTCGGTGAAGATCTGGATGAAATCCCTCAGGGAGAAGCAGCCTGTCTGCAGCATCAGCTCCCCTGTCTCCTCCACGCAGGGCCCAGCAAACACCAGCAGCTTGTGCTGGGACACGTCTGTGATCAGGTTCCGCAGCTGGGGACACAGGAGAGGACACTGAGGAAGCTACCGGGGGCTCCAGCCCCACTGATAAAGGAGGGGACATTGAGGAGGGGACACTGAGGAGGCTCCAGCCCCATGACACCCCCCCTTAGCTCCAAAAGGACCTTGGCCACCCCTCACCTCGTCACACAGGGACTTGTCCGAAGGGTTGAGCAGCACCAGGGTCTCCAGGACATCTCCCCGGTGGTGGAGGGTCCTCTGACCTGTAGGGGAGACAGGACTGACACTCGCCCCCACCCCAAAATGAGGGGGCTGCACCCCAGTTTGGCCTCATCCCACAGGATTAGGGACACACACAGAGAGGCACGGGGCCAGCTCCTGCCCGCTTCCCCCACGGAAGAGGGACAGGCAGGACACACTTCCCACGTCCTTCCTGCTACAGGGAAAGCAGG